CTATATATACCTTACATAGTCCCTATGTACCTAAGTAGCCCCTAAACCCTAAACCCTAAACCCTAAACCCTAAACCCTAAAGAACCCCTTGAGGTCCCTTATCAGGGTGCCTCCTTGAGTCCCTTGATCCACGCGGTTTGCTTATCAGGCCTTTGCAGGCACCTAGGGAAGAGGGTTTAGGGTTTAGGGTTTAGGGTTTAGGGTTTAGGGTTTAGGGTTTAGGGTTTAGGGCTTAGGGTAGCCTTATATGATTTATATGGTCACTTCTCTCAAACATGGTCCATGTGTTTGGGTCTTTTGGGGCTGCTATTTCCAAGGCGGCCCCAATTATTTGGGGCAAACCCAAAAGCGACCAGAGTTTCGAGAACTGACCATCTCCCCTTTCATTTTCTGCTCTGGGCTTGTCGTAGACTCAATCCTTGAGGTTGACCGAGATGGCCAGAGACGCCAAATTGCTTAGACAGGGAGTTTTTTACCCTCAACTGTAGGGGCATCCTTCTTCTCATCAAGTTTTTTCGGGGTCGGGGGAGGGGGAAATCTGGGTTTTGACACCTCTCTGATTCTGTGGCAGGAGCCCAGCTGTGCGCCGGCGTTTGAACACCTCAAGCCGTGCAGCTGGAGACTGGGAAAACTAGGGCCACTAGGGATGCCGGTCATTCGGTGATTGTTTAGGGCTTTGGAGCTTATGGTTGAAAATTTAGGGTTCAGAGCGCAACAGGAAGTAGGTTAGTGCAACATGGAGACTTCGAGCCGGGTGCCGGCTGAGCTTGATGCCCTTTCGTATTTGATGGTTTACGAGCATCTGCAGTTGGACGAGCTGCTCGTCGCAACGTGCAGCTGTCGATGGCAACGGCACCGTCTGAAACATCTCCGGTGGCTGAATATAACTGCGCCCTCACATTGTAACGTCAAGTTGTTGAGCCTCTTGCCTGCAGTCACAACCGTTTCCGCAGCCATCGTTCGTGGTGCTCCACCTTGGGAGTTTGCAGAGGCTGATATTGCTGCGCGGCTGCCTTTTGCGCTGACTGCGCTGCCAAAGATCACCCGGCTAATCCTGACAAGCCCGGAATCTTGGCACGGCCAAGACACCCCAGATGATGTGATGGCTGTAATCTACAGCTTGACAAGGAGCTTAGCAAAAGCGTGTCAAAGCATGGCCTTCCAGAACCTTGAATGGATTGACTTGGGCTATATGCATTGCCCCAAGGCCTCTGATGAAGGGACTTCCTGCAGCTGCGATGACATGGCACGGTATTTTCCGCCTGCCACGGTCATCGAGTTTCTTGTGCGTGGGGACTTGTGCTTGAGCCGGATGGAGCTACTGCGGCTGGCACTCGGTCGGGGCATCGACTTGAATGGTGCTTTTGCTGGGAACAAAGCGATCACAGTTTTCCATCATGTCCTCAAGGGACTCGACCCCGACGATTTTCCCTCGAGGGAAGACATCGGCATCGATGTCGAGTGCTGCTCTGTGATCAATCACATGGTCGAGTTCGGAGGTGCCGTTCCCGACTCGAAGCTACTAGCAGATGCGTCGAATGGACAGCTGTTTGACGTGGACTACCCCGGCTATGCCGACTGCTTGTCAGCCTGGCTGCTTGCCGGCGATGTAGGCCAGAAGTTCGCATGGCGGGAAAAGGACTTTCAGAGTTTGAGCAGGGCTCAACCCTCAACGTTGGACTCTACAATCAAGTTTCTTTGTGGGGTTCCGAGTATCATATGGAGCCGTATATTTAAGGTGCCCAAAAAGGCGCCCTAATTTGGAAAGCTTCCCGCTTAGCCCGAACCTTGGAGCAAGCCCATTGCGCGTCGACCATGTTTCCACAGGACATGACGGGGCTTGGGTTTCCGGGGCCTAGACCCTCCTAAACCCCTAAACCCGAGACCCCTAAACCCCAAACCCCTAAACGGTACAAACATTCCTTTCTGCTTGTCAACGCATCGGGCTTTTCTAGGTAACCTTGGACCCCTTGAAGCTGAAAACCCTGAAATCGGGCCGATACAAATCCCTACCCTCCGGGGTGTAGGGCTTTAGGGCCTGGAGAAAAGGTCCCTATATCCTAAACCCCCCTAAACCCTAAACCCGAAAGCCTAAACCCTAAACCCTAAACCCTAAACCCTAAACCCTATACCCTATACCCTATACCCTAAACCCTTCCTGGGTGCAGGCTTACTTGGAGGTTCATAGTACTTTAGGGCTTAGGGCTTAGGGGTTAGTTAGGGTTTAGGGTTTAGGGATCCAAAGCAACTGTACTTCTAGCCCACCTGAAAAGCCCCTTAAGTGCCCTTTCATGGGTATAAGCACGGTTCTAGGTACAGTTGTAACTGGTTCATAAGTACCCTGAACCTCCATGTTGGGGCAGGGCTGAAGGGCCGGGCAGGATCCCGGCGTGAAGTACCACCACCGCGTGCGGAAGACGCGCCTGATGCGGGACCCGCGCCTGGGGCAGGGCACGGGACGAGACCCAAGACCCCAAACCCAAGTTGACGAACCCTAAACCCGAAGCCCCAAAACTTTACCCTAAACCCTAAACCCTAAGCCCTAAGCCCCAAGATTTTAACATTGGGGGTTTGGAAGGCAGCAGGGGCTTAGGGCATTCAGGCTTCAAGGTTTGGGGTTCAGGGTTTCAAGGGAAGTCCGAACTAAGCACCGGACCGCTGCAATTCAAGGAGGATAACCACCCCAAACCCTGGACCTAAGCCCTAAACCCTAAACCCTGGCCCTAAACCCTAAACCCTAAACCCTAAACCCTAAACCCTAAACCCTAAACCCTAAACCCTATAAGCCCTAAACCAGGGAACCTCTACCTGGGTAGGATCTTGGGGATGCGTTTTCGGGGATAGCTACAGGATGGAAGGACCCGTCTCCCTTGAAGAACCTCAAGAAGCTCTGCGGTTTAGGGTTCAGGGTTTACGGTTTAGGGTTTAGGGTTTAGGGTTCAGGGTTCAGGGTTTACGGTTTAGGGGTTCAGGGTTACGGTTTAGGGTTTAGGGTTTAGGGCGTAGGGTCCTGGGTTCAACGCGGTGAGGAAAGACCTTGGGAGCTGGAAAGTTTAGCAATCTTTTTGTGTATGAACCCTAAACGCTAAGCCCTAAACCTTGTTGTATATGTATATATATATATATGTACGAGTTAAGGAACACTCTCGAGAGGGATTGCCAACTTCCTGCAAGGATCTCGGTCTCAGCTTGTCACGCGAAATTGCAACCCTTCGAGGTAGCGCGAGGAGTTCTGCGCCGTGCTGCCCAGCGACCCCAGCGACCCCAGCAGTTGACACGGGTGAGGTGGCCCTTTTTGCGTTTGGAAGTGCAACACATCTGCCCTTGAATTCCCTCAGGCATTGAAGGGACCGTAATCATCAGGACCTACGACATGAGAGATGTCCTCATAGTTTTTGGGGCGATGGGCCCTGCACATTGGCCAATGTCAGTCTGGTGGCGTGATTCAGAGGCTGGGGAAGAAGCGCTTCCTTCGGAGACCCTCACTGGCCTTACATCAGGTGGCCGGCGCTTGGCTTAAACCCCTAGAAACGCTAAACCCTTAACCCTAAGGCCTACTGTAAACCCTAAACTCTACACCTAAACCCTAAACCCTAAACCCTAAACCCTAAGCCCTAAGCCCTAAGCCCTAAGCCCTATACCCTAAACCCCTAAACCCTGAACCCTGAACCCTAAACCCTAAACCCTAAACCCTAAACCCTAAACCTTAAACCCTAAACCCTAAACCCTGAACCCTAAACCCTAAACCCTAACTCATGAGGACATCGAGCCCCAGCAATGCAGCGTCGAAGCTGAAGGCACTGTTCGCGTCAAGTTTCAAGCCTTCCTGGTTTAGGGTTCAGGATCTGGGTTTAGGGTTTAGGGTTTAGGGTTTAGGGGTTTAGGGTTTAGGGTTTAGGGTTTAGGATTTGGGTTTAGGGTTTAGGGTTTAGGGCCAGGATTTGGGTTTAGGGTTTAGGATTCAGGATTTGGGTTTAGGGTCGCCCCATCCTGCCCCGCCCCCCGCCACACCCCCAAGCAAGCCCAACAGCGTTATTGTTTAGGGTTGGGGGCTTGGGCCTGGCAGATCTTTGTTTTTTGTTGTGTTGCTTATCTTACTGTAGTTCACATTAGGGCATTCGGGAAGTAGGTACCCCATCAGATCCCTTAAAGGGTTACATAAGGGAGATCTGTAAGGTGCCTAATTCCTTCCCCTAATATAAATACACCCCTGATACTAAAAGAATTAAGCCTGACCCAAAATCCCGATCCCGTGCCTGTCCCTACTAGAACCTCTACAGAGAGAGGGGGGGGCGGGTTTTGGGGAGGGGGGGTGTCGGAAGCCTGACGCAGAAACTTGAACCACTTTCTCAAACCTGAACCTTTCGGGCCTAAGGTTTGGGGTTCAGGGTCTAGGGTTTAGGGATACCTAAACCCTAAACACTGCTGGTTTTTCGGGCAAACTATAAGAACCTCCTAATACTAAAAACCCTTTGGGTGTTTTTATACAAGGGAGGGGGGGGGATTTATTAGGGGGAAGGGCTTGATTCCGTTCTTCCTTGTTCAGAGGTGGTATGTTCTGGGATATCAAGAAGGGCCCATCATGTTCGCCATCCCACGTTGGTCTAGGCTTTGAAGTTTCCGGCTTTCGGGTCTAGGGTTAAAGAAATATGGACCCATGCACAGAGATGTAGCGTGTTGCGCTGTGTCATGTGTGTCTCAGTTGAGGGTTTAGGGTTTAGGGTTTTGGTGGCCTGGTATGGCAAGCCTGTGCTTTTGCGATCGCATTCTGCCAGGTAGCCCTGCGCAGGCCTAGAAGTCTTCTGCTGTGCCCTGCAAACTGTCGCTTCCCGGAGCTCGAAACTCTAAACCCTAAGCCCCAAACCCCAAACCCTAAACCCCAAACCCCAACCCTAAACCAAACACCCTGAACATCCCTAAGCTCTACGCCATAAACCTTGCAGCCATTTGAAGCACGAGAGGGTCCAAGATCGACTCAACTCGCGGTAGCGAAGGCTGCCATGGCACTCCGCATCTTTCTCCTCCTGCGTCTCGACATGGGGATTTACGAAAACACGGAACCCCGAATATAACCCCCAAATAATAGCATTTCCTGATAGTAAGGACCCCAATAAGGAACCCCGAATATCGGAAAATCCCACATGAGTTGACAAGTGTGGCGTCGAGGCCTTACGGGTTTGGTCTATAGGTTCATAAGGTGGTTTCGCAGGGGTGGGCGGGGGGGGGGCGAGTTGTCTCGTAGTACACGTCTGTACGTGGGTACGCGCTTGATGGCGCAAGTTTGTGGCTCGAAACTGGTTCAGATTTCTATCGGTTTCCACAAAGCGGGGTAACTCCGACCCCAATAAGATATGTACATCGTTATGTAGATATTATGGAATGGATGAATCATTGTATACATATATACAATATTTGTATATCTATCTATACATGCTTTCTGGTTGTTATATATTGTGATTCTGAGTGTTTTTTGTTTTCGTCATCACTATGTTTCCTTAATATGCTATATATATATATATATAAGTTTATGTGTTTATATGGCATACGCCTCACCCCCCCGCAGAAACAACAACAAAAACAAAACATCACAGTCCGAACAATCGCCCCTATAGGAACTTGATCGTAAGATCTTGGTCTCCCACATCCCGAAGCCCTAAACCCTAAGCCCCTTTGCCGCTTAAGTTGCAAGCATGACTTGGGTTCGGGGTTTAGGGTTTAGGGTCTAGGGTCTAGGGCCCTAAACCCTTAACCCTAAACCCGAAGCCCCACGCCCTAAACCCTAAACTTCTGTAGGGCTTATGCACGGCGATGGTTGGGTAGTTGGGAGAGGGAGCTTGCATGTCTGGCACCTGACATGAGTTCGTAGCAACCCAGTGGTCAACAGACACCCTTTGCTAGCGAGAGAAGCCGCCCTCAACAACCCTGACCCAAAGCCCAAACCCTAAACCCTAAACCCTAAACCCTAAACCCTGAACCCTGAACCCTGAACCCTAAACCCTAAACCCTAGACTCTAGACCCTAAACCCTAGACCCTAAATAGACCCTATGGGCCCAAGCTCTCTCCGAACCGCAAGAAGTCCAAAAACTCCCCGTGCGCCACGAACCCTGCTAACTCTACTAGACGCTGGAATCTTTAGGCTTTAGGGTTTAGAGTTCAGGGTGCAGGGCTTAGGGTTTGGGATGAGATCTTTCTCCTAAAGCCTGCAAGCCTAAACTCTACTATCAACCTTTAGAAGCCACCTGAAGAATCCCCGAAGCTGATCCTAAGCCCTATCTATAAGCCCTAAACCCTATCATCCCGAAGCCTACTCTCAGGCTCCCGCTGTGCGCGGCGCAGCAAGCAGGAACGCTGAAGGAAGAAGGTGCTCAGAGGGTTTAGGGTTTAGGGTTTAGGGTTTAGGGTTTAGGGTTTAGGGTCATACTGAGCATGCGGGATTTGGAGTGCAAGGGCAAGTCTGGGATTTTTGTTGAGCAGCCTTAGCCTAGGGGTTCAGCAAGTCCTGATGCGTCAAGGGAGTCATACTTGGACCCTTAAGCATGTACCCCTAAATATGTCCTTTTTCTTCCCTTGGAGGATCTTGTAAAAGGGGTCCCCAAACCCAAGGGTACAACCTTAGGGGTCAAAGGTAGAATCCCATGAATGTGGAGGGTTGAGAAATCTCAGGGGATGTGCCACACGCGCGGCGAGAGGCAACCCTACAACCTGACCCCTGCAACCGAAAGGCATGTGGAGCTGTGCCTATTCTCATGGAGGACTAAAAGCCTTCTTCTGGTAACACAGGACCTTGAACCCAAAAACCTGAAGCCCAAACCCTCACTTACAAAGTCACTGCTTGTGGAGGACTTCTAGCCGCTAGCCGCCAGGCCAATCCACCATCTAACCAGCTGTTATCGGCTCGTTTTGGGATCTCCAGTGTAGCAAACTCCTCATACTTCAGTAGGGTCCCCAAAAGCAGAGCTCGAGATGTAGATCAACCCACAGTTACTGTACCTCAAGTTGTTGAACTCTGTAAAAGCTTTGCTACGCGGGATGCGTAGGAAGGGGCATTCCACGAACATCTTAGGCCCTCAGGCCCACTGCCCCCTACCAAGCGCTCAAGCTTTGAGCAGAAGCCCCACATCAGCCCCCTAAGGGCGTAAAGCACCCAGCCCTAGGCTCCAAAAATGTCAATCCGAGCTGAAGACCAAAAGTTTCGGAAAACCCCAAGCCCTAAACCCTGAACCCGAAACCCGAAACCCGAAACCCGAAACCCTAAACCCTAAACCCCAAACCCCTAAACCCCAAACAGGCAACCCGACGATGGCAGTGAAGGAGTGTACCAAAGCCGGCGGCTGCACTACCAAGGAGCCCTCGAGACAAGAAGCCTTTGGGTAGGAGTGGTTTAGGGTTTAAGGTTTAGGGTTTAGGGTTTGGGGTTTGGGGTTTTGGGGTTTTGGGTTTTAGGGTTTAGGGTTTGGGGTTTGAGGTTTGGAGTGTGGGGTTTGGGGTTTCGGGTGGAGTGGTTTACTTGGTAGCCCAGTGGTACCCTTTTCCCTTTTTGTTGGTTCAATGTTCCCTTGTCAAGTAACAAACCCAAAATAAGGATGCCTTTATTATACTATGGTTAAGAAGCCTTGGTGTAGTGGTTTAGAGGTTTTGGGTTTGGGGCTTAATCGTGGAAGGCTGCGTCTCTGTGCCTCGGTGTCTCTGTGTCTCTGTGTCTTTGCCTCTCTCTCTCTCTCTCGGTGTGCGTGCGTGTGGTTGTCCTTGAGCAGCTCCTTTCCGTCCTAAACCCTAAACCCTAAACCCTAAATCCTAAACCCTAAACCCTAAGCCCCCCCAAACCCTATAGACCCTAGCTACAGCCCTCGAGCTCGGCAGTTGAAACCCAAATCCGCCTTCATATCCAGTGGCCACGACACTTCCTCAGCCAGTTTCCTCGTCCAGAAGCAGTTTGTGGTTCATAGGGCTTAGGGTTCAGGGTTCAGGGTTTGATGTTTCTAGTGCAGGAGCACAAGCTTGTCTTGGATGCCAACTGGCGCTGGATCCACACGACAGACGGGCAGCTTAAGTTGCAAAAGCTGTGAGCAACGCAGAAACTTAGAGCCGATACACACTAAGGCTGTATGGTCTGGTGTCGTTCCTTTCATCTGGTGTGCAAGTTATGTCGTATGTAAGTATGGTATACTGCTATACGGTTCGCGGCTTGCGGCTGTTTAATAGCTGCCGGCCCTGTTGGGTCTCTTTCACTGGGATCTGCGTGACATGTGGCCATACCTGATCACCAAGTTGTTGTTTGACTACATTGGGGGGGGGGGTTCTATGACACTGTGTAAGTGCACGCAAATTCTTTGGGGGTGCTTTTGTTATGATCAAGCCGCACATGTTCTGTTCTTGTTTCAAGGGTGCAGAACCTATCTGCTGAAGACGGACAATCCTTGCAGTACTTACACTACTTCTCCTGAGGATGAATGTGCCTGGAAAGTACATAAATAATCTGGGCCCCGAAGTGAAGTGTGTATGTCAGGTCCAAGGATAAGTCATTGAGGTACTTGAACGCCTAGAATCTGAAGCGGCCCAGGTACAAGAATTGCTACACCGGCAACGAGTGGGACACCGGCATCTGCACTGATCCGGACAGTTTATGGTTTCGGGTTCATGCGCCGCGTTTAGGGTAGCCAAAACAAAGCCTTAAGCAGCCAAAACCTGACTTTTGTAGGTGATCGTGCAAAGACCGACTAGAATTCTTGGGTAGCAGAAAGCTATATCTAATACGGGGGTTTACGAAAACAGGGCACCGGATCCCGTCATAGTGAGGACCCCAACAATTTACCCCTAATATCGCAAACCCCCATAACCATTTAAACCCTAAACCCTAAAACCGCCGCCACCCCACTCTCTTGTCTTTTGAGGTAGGCCGGCGCTGGTCGAGCGCTCAGTGAGACCTGCGAGGGAGCCCCAAACTGTAAACTGGTTCTGAGACCCCTGAAGTCCCTCTTTCCCGGTTCAGGGTTTAGGAGGGGTTAGGGTTTTAACTCCGCCCCGCCGCAAAAAACATCGCTCGCAGGATACCTGCGCCCAGGGATGCGCTCTTGAAGCGGTAGACGCCGGCCAGTACCAGCAGCTTGGGCTTAGGGTTTATAGGGTTTTGGGTTTGTAGGTTTGTAGGGTTTGTAGGGTTTATAGGGTTTATAGGGTTTATAGGGTTTATAGGGTTTGTAGGGTTTATAGGGTTTATCGGGTCTGTAGGGTTTGTAGGGTTTATAGGGTAAATGGGGTTTATAGGGTTTAGGGTCCAGGGTGCCACGATGTAGTGCTTCCCTGAGTTCTCCTGGAGCCTAAGGATGCCATCATAGTTTAGGGTTTAGGGTTTAGGGTTTAGGGTTTAGGGTTTAGGGTTTAGGGTTTAGGGTGTAGAGGAGGGGGCTCAAGATTTCGGAGGCCCTCTCAAGTAGTTTCTTTGTGTGGCTTCAGGCGTCTTGAATGACTTTCTGTGTTTTGCTTAAAGTGCTTCTGGGGATCCAAGAGGTTTAAAGGCGTGTCAGGGGGTCTCAGTGGTTTTGAAGGGGCTTGCGGGGCTAAACCCTAAATCCTAAACCCTGAACGTTTAACCTTTTTGGATCTAGGGCTTGTGGGCTTAGAGTTGCTTGCGAGAAGAGAAGTGTTTCTGACATAGGCGCTTCGGACGTGGACTGTTCTGAAGTATGGGCCCTAGGCTTATTATAGGGTATACAAGGAGGCATATATAAGGGGTCCCCATTTAAGGGTTTAGGGTTTAACTAGGGTTTAGGGTTTAGGGTTTAGGGTTTAGGGTTTAGGGCCATACCAAGGGACCATGAAACTACCCTACGGACTATCAGGCACTAGAGAGAGACTTCTCTTCATTGGTTCGGACATGCGGAGGCTTTCTGGCGTACTGGGGTTCGCTGTTGTTGCTTTTGTGTTTGCCTGTTTGAGCACGCAAGAGTTGGGGCTAGGATACACGGTGCATACTGCTGTCAGCGAGCGCAGAAGGAAGAGCCTGAGGTCAAGCAAACATCCGAGACCCAGTATCCTTCAAGATGGTGAAGAGCATGCCCCAAACAACCCTAAAACCCTTAAACTCTTATAAGCCCTAAGAGCCAAAACCCTGACCCCCCCACCCCCCCCACCCCCCCCAAGAGAAAAAAAAAAAAAGGAAGGCTCTTAGGCCCTATATGGGGTGCAGGTAGACCCAAAGCAAGGAGCATCTACCCCTAAACCCTATACCCTAAACCCTAAACCCTAAACCCCAAACCCCAAACCCTAAACCCTAAACCCTAAACCCTGAACCCCCAAACCCCAAACCCCAAACCCTAAACCCTAAACCTAAAGCAAGGAGCATCTACGGCATCAGCGCCGTGCCTGGCGGGGTTCGCCTGAACTTCGTCACGGGCTCCAACGTGGGGTCACGGCTGTTCCTCCTTGCGGCTTGGCATCAGGGGCGGGTAACTGGGGGTTTAGGGTTTAGGGTTTAGGGTTTTTAGGGTTTTTAGGGTTTTTAGGGTTTTTAGGGTTTTTTGGGTTTTTTGGGTTTTTAGGGTTTTTAGGGTTTTTAGGGTTTTAGGGTTTTTAGGGTTTTTAGGGTTTTAGGGTTTTTAGGGTTTTTTAGGGTTTTTAGGGTTTCTAGGGTTTCTAGGGTTTCTAGGGTTTTAGGGTTTTTAGGGTTTTTAGGGTTTTTAGGGTTTTTAGGGTTTCTAGGGTTTTCAGGGTTTTCAGGGTTTTCAGGGTTTTCAGGGTTTTCAGGGTTTTCATGGTTTTCAGGGTTTTCAGGGTTTTCAGGGTTTGCAGGGTTTAGGGGCTCTCGGGCTAGGTTGGGCCTTGTTTGTTCTTGTGGAGTCGTAACCCTCAAAGCCCGGCCAGCCCTCAACCATCAAGCCTTCGACCCAAAACCCTTCACCCTCCTTAGAGACCTTGGGAGGTGCCCTTGTGCGACCATTAGTTGAAGTTCGGATAGGTTATTCGTAGGAGCCGACATCTGTCTGATGTTGGGTTATCGACTATAGCCATGGCCTTGCGTATGCCGTCGTACATGTCCCTCATTGGGAGTGGAATCGACGGTGGGCACTTCAGCCCACGAAGCGTTGATGTCGTCTTCTCGGCCAAGATGTATGAGCCCTTAACCTCCATGGACTCAAACTGCAAGTCACGGTTTAGGGTTCATGGATTCGGGGTTTAGGGTTCGGGGATTCAGGGTTTCTTGTTGGTTCATGGCCTCAGGGTTTCGGGTTCAGGGTTTAGGACACAAGGTTTAGGGGTTAGGGTCCCGAGCCTCACTGGCCTAGCCCAAGGCCTAGCCCAAGGCCTAGCCCAATTTCTGCCCACCTTAGCGGCGGGGTCGATGTGTCATGACGGCAGGAAGACGACGACAGCTACAAGCTGTTCAAGCTCAAAAATCGACACTTTGCTGACAGGGCTTTCGGTTTTTGGGGAGAATCTCAGCCCGCTGAGTGAACCGCCTAGTTGGTGTATGGAATGCACTGAAAGCCTGAGGACCTAACCCTAAGGGTCCATGTACCTATATAGTCTATACTTGGGCCCTAAAGCAACTATATGGGAACCCCTTTAAGGCCCAAGTATATACTATATAGGTACATGGACCCTTAGGTAAGACATTATGAATCCCAAGCCCAGAAACGGCGTTAGGCGAGTTTTCCGTCGATGTGGACTCCTCGACGGTGGAATGCGGCATGAATGGCGCGATGTGCCTGGGCAAGAAGCCCAAACCCTACACCACGCTTGGTTTAGAGGTACAGCTTTGGGTGTTCAGGGCTCAGGGCTTCAGGGCTTCAGTCAAGGGATGACGACTCGTACCCCTGGGGACGTACCCCTAAGAGGTTCCCCTTATACACTCCCAATCTGGCCCCTATATATTTCCCTACTAGAAAGGGGCCCCCAAACCCAAGGGTACCACCGTAGGGGTCCGAGGGAGAGTCTCATGATTCGGGGTTTAAGGCTTCCGGACTTTAACCCTAAACCCTAAACCCTAAATCCCAAACCCTAAACCCTAAACCCCCCAGGTTTGGGGCCTCCCTTGTCAGCTGCAAGTCTCCCTCGGGTTCAGGGGTGGGGTCCGAGCCTCATGAGAGGTTTAGGGTTTAGGGTTTGGGGTTTAGGGTTTGGGGTTTGGGGTTTGGGGCTTATAACCCCATCTTTGGGCCCCAAACGGCCTAAACCCTGACTCCTTATAGCGCATCCCTCAGCCCCTGCCTCCTTAAATCCTAAAAAGCCTAGGCCTGAACCCCAAAGCTTGGGATGTTCCCCCTTAATACTATACAAGCAGTCCTCAGTCGGGATTATAGTATCCCCTATTCTAATCACTAGTAAGGACTGTTCGTTTTGGGGGGAACATCCCAGCCTGAGACCTCTAAACCCTAGAACCCTTAAGCCCTTAAACCCTGAGACCTGAACTCTAGGGTCGCAGAACTCCCAGAGCAAGCGCCGAAATCAACCCAACTGTGCGATGTAAGCCATATACTTATGGGTGTAGGGTTCAGGGTTTAGGGTTGGTATAGGGCTCAAAGAACTTAGTACGCTGGGTTCAGGGAGGGTGTAGCGCAGGTTTTGTTTGGGTTGAGGGCTTAGGGCTTGGGGAACGGCGTAAGATATGAGTAGGGTTCTAAGTGCCCTAAGATGGGTCACCCTAAACTCTAAACCTAAGCTCTAAGCCGCAAAGCTTGTTTCCATGGGATCGTCCGACGATATCCAATTTATGGCTTAGGTGTCAGGGTGCGGCTCATGCCGAGTTCACAAGGTGTGGCCCACTCAAAGACTCCCAAAACTCTAGGGTTTAGGGCTTAGGGTTTAGGGTTTAGGGTTTAGGGTTTATAAGGTTTCTAGGGTCTAGGTCCTAGGTGTAGGGTCTGTCCTGTAAGGTACTTCATAGAGATGGCAGCCGACGGCGGCAAGGGCCTTGGCTACAACGACGCCGGCGCCAAGTACGGCACCGGATACTGTGACGCGCTGCTCGGCGATTTTTTTCATGAGAGGGTTAGGGTTTTTGGGGTTTTTGTTTTTTTTTTTTTTGGGGGGGGGGGGTTAGGGTGTTTGGGGTTTTTAGGTTTTTTTTGGTTTCAAGGGTTTTTAATTGTTTTTAGGGTTTTTAGGGTTTTTTTGGTTTCAAGGGTTTTTACTTGTTTTTAGGGTATTTAGGGTTTTTAGGGTTTTTAGGGTTCGGGGTTTACGGCTTAGGGCTCATGATTTGGGATGTTCCCTCTTCTACTAGCAGTGCTTACTAAGGATTGTAGTACCCCCCCAATTACAAGCCCCATGTGGGACTGTTAGTAGAAGGGGGAACATCCCGACAGCTGTAGTTTAAAGGTTTTAAGTTGAGGCTTGGGGTTGAGCAATTCCAGTTCTTCTTGTGGCGTCGTGGGTGGGGGTGAAGAGGAGCCCTAAACCCTAGACCCAAGACTCTAAACCCTAAAACCCCTAAACCCGAAACCCTAAACCCTAGACCCAAGACCCTAAACCTTAAACCCTAAACCCTAAACCCTAAACACTGGGGTTTAGAGGGCCTGTGGGCTTCTGGCCTTTTTTGGCTTTTGGGCTTCTGTTCTTCGGCTCAAGCCGAGGCAGTGCCCCCACGATGTCAAGTTCATCGACGGCAAGGCCAACTCCAAGGATTGGAAGCCTCATCCAAAGGACCTGGCTTAGGGTTTAGGGTTTAGGGTTTAGGGTTTAGGGTTTAGGGTTTAGGGTTTAGGGTTTAGGGTTTAGGGTTTAGGGTTTAGGGTTTAGGGTTTAGGGTTTAGGGTTTAGGGTTTAGCTGCGCTTAAAGAGCCTTAGGGGCCGGCTTGTAGGTTTATCGGCGCAGATGCCCTGAACCCTGCACCCCAAAACCCTAAACCCTAAACCCATAAACCCTAAACCCTAAACCCTAAACCCTAAACCCTAAACCCTAAACCCTAAACCCTAAACCTATAGGGCTTGAGGGCTTCTGGTTTATGGGTTCTGTTCAGGCGTTTAGGCCTGTGAACCCCGAAGGCTTCCGAGGCTATGGGTCTTAGATATAGCCCGGGTTCGCTTACAAGCCCTTTTCAAACCAAAAAGGGTGCCCTGCTTATTCCTAGGTTTTTCTCGGGTCTAGCTGCTCATACTGGCTGGAGGGTGGGTGGTTTGGGGCTCAGGGCTTAGGAGTTTATGGGTCTTAGTAAATAACCCTAAACCCCGCACCCTTAAGCCGCCCAGCCTAGGGCTCATTGGGTGTTGCTTATGGTGTCTAGTGCGGACATATACAGCGTCTTTAAGTGCCAAGCCCGGACCACCAACGGTTTTCGAAGGGGCTGGGCTTTGTTGTTTAGGGTTTAGGGCTACAATGCGTTGCTTTCGTTTAGGGCGTGAGTTTAGGGTTAGAGGGTCCGCATCCCAACATTCGGAGGCTCTGGAGGATCAACTCCTTCACTGAGCCCCTAGCCCCGAAACCCGAACCAGGGCATCAGAAGGAGTACCCTTATGCCCACGTTCTTCTGCCTGAGGTGTTGAAGGGTCTTGGAAGTTCAAACAACCCTGAATCCCTGCTGCAAACCCTGAGCCCTGAAATCTCACCCTCAACCCTAAGCCCTAAACCGTTGGCTAAACCCTAAACCCTAAACCCTAAACCCTAAACCCTAAACCCTAAGTGCCAGGACTTCAGCAACACGATTGGTCTGGGTCACTACGGCGCCTGCTGCGCCGAGATGGACATCTGGGAGGCACGACAGCTTGAACCCTAAGCCCAAAACCTTTTGGCTCTTAGTCGGAAATGAGGGAATTTAGGTACCCAGCACAATCCCTTAACGGGTATATATGTATATATATATATATATGTAAGCCCCTTTCCGTCAAGGAGGAAACCCTGGGGATAGCTGCGTAGCTCTAGTATGCTCGCGGGGGGCCCATGATTATTCAGAAACGTGTGTCTGCTGGTGCTGGCCTGCCAACAAGGGAATGCTATGGCGATGTGCAACTTACAACACACATAGCGCATGGCAACTGTCCAGGAAGCAAGAGATTCTTGATGCATTCGATGGCTATCATGTTGTGGGTTTGTGTGGCACCAAGTATCGGAAGCACAGCAGTGACCCATCATGTCGGGTGTCTACAGTGGGATCTTTCCGTTTGTACGAGTGGGGCAATCCTGGCAAATCGGAACATGCAGCGGGGCTGGCCATATGTATTCGGAGACAAGTTTTCGCTGAACACAACATCCGCCAAATTTATGACATACCCAGCGTGTTTCAAGGCAGGCTTGGAGTTCTCAGAGTCAAACGCAAAGACGTGGATTTTTGCTTCATTGCTGCATACCCATGGGTGCAGGGCAGGACTGCTTCAGAGCGCAGTCGCATCGATAGATTCTGGCAGTATGTTGGGTCGGTTATTTCAAGTCTACCCCACCGATGCGTGCCAGTGGTTCTCACAGATGCCAACGCCCGCAACGGGCTGCATCGAGATGAGAGCGGGGCAATCGTTCCCATCGAGTCCCCTGCAATTGGCGCATGCACACGTGAGTTTGAAAACAGCAGCGGCGCATCATTCCGGCGAATGTTGGAGGAACAGTTTTTGTGCTCTATTAATTCTTTTCGTGCACCAGGACATACTTATTTTGGAAACGTTGCGGGTGTCAAGTCGCGCATCGACCATATCGTTCTGCCACAAAGTTTGCAAAGCCAAGTGGTGTCTTCAGGGGTGCTATACTCAGTGGGCTCTCGGTTGCAGCGCGTCTATGGACCTGGCAAGAGGGACCACATGCCAGTTAATGTGGTTTTTCGGCATGCATCTTCTTTCACGGGACAGGCAGGGCACCGAGGTCGCAAATTTCACTGGGACCAATCGGCCTTGGTTAATGGCGTGTTACGAGGTGACATGCGTCGCCAGTTGGTGGATGCAGTTACGCGCAATTGTGCTGAACTGGACTTCGCCAAGTACACACGTCCTGACTGTAATCAGTTGCCCCCTGCGCCAGATGTATATTGGAAAGCCTTTTCAACTGCAATTCACTCGCCGGCGTATGATTTGTATCAGCGCAAAAAGCCTTCACAACAACGCAGGCCTGCTGACACACAGAAGGCCTTGCAGACTCATGCTGAAGCTCGTGAAGTTATTGCTGCGCTTCCTAAAAGTCTGGTTCCTGTGCAGGACCGCCAGCACACGCATCAATTCCTTGCTGAACTTCTGTTTCAATGGCGAGCAGCCAGCAAGTTCTATAGCACGAGGGCTGCAGCAGACAGGTTGCTCAAACGAGACGCTCGCAAAGTCGTGGCAGATCGCATTGTGGAGTTCAATCACGCTCATCATGCTCGAGACGATGCTCATGTTTGGAGAATGGGTCGCGTTTTGTCTGGCTTCCGCGTGGGTCCAAAACGTCGTCGATATGATCGACCACTTGGGTCCTGTCCTGAAGCACGAGAATGGGTTCGTTTCATGGCTCAGCCAGGCAACAAGGGAGGATGTTCTGGGCATGAAGTTGATTGGGAAGTTGCTTTCCATGAAGCACTCACCTGTAAGAGGGAGCCTGTGCGATCGCTTGCAGCTGCCCGATCAATGGCGACAGAAGATTTTCGGAATGTGCTGTCTCTGCTTCGTGTTCACAGGCTGCGCAAAGTTGTTCCCGACTGGGCTGTACCAGGGGAGATCTGGCGACAGCTTGCCAGTCCCGACGAGTACTACGTCAAACGACGCTTGGGGATCGGCTATGATTCGCGTCTTAATGTGCATCTCTTTCGTCAATGTTTATATGGTTTGTTTGTCTCAATTCGTTTGTATGATACTTTGCCTCTTCACTGGAACCTCAGCCAAACGTTTCAAATCGATAAACAAAACAGTCAGCCTGGATGCGCGGGACTTCGTAGCATCAACACCTTTGAACCACTGGGAAAAATACACATTCGATCTTTGTGGGATAGGGGCATCCGGCGATGTGAGAGACACTGGGCAGCGGGGTACGTCAAGCACAAGTCCAGAGTTACTCCAATCATGCAGCGTAGAATTGTCAAAGCTCGCTTGCGCAGGGCAGGTCAAAGTCACTGTGATTCTTTCTACGATGCCAAGAATGCTTTCCCAAGTGTGGCTCGTCCTATATGCGATGCTGCGATCCAGGAGACGTGCAAACCTGAGGACATCAACCTTCTCAAGCAACGCAACAATCAAGCCATTATGCGGTTCTTGGCTTCTGACAGGGTTGTCTTCATTGCCACTGGGTCGGGATCATTGCAAGGGGATTCTCATGCTGGCGAGCAGTTTCTGGAACAGTATCATCCTGCTTTGGACGAATGGGTGCAGCGGCTCAGCAATGTGGAAGGGTCAGACTTGGTCGTCTGGGATCAAATTGGCAACATGTTTGTGGATGCGTCTATTTCTTCATACGCAGATGATTTGGCTCGCACAGTGTTGTGTTCCACTCCACATGATTTGGCAGCGCGTTTGCATCGTGCGAATCAAGAATTGTGTGATGTTCTTGAGCCACTCGGTGTTGCGCAGAACTTGGATAAGCAGGAACATGTCCCGTGTTTCGTCCGCTCACATGCTCTATCGCATACCAGGTTGGTGTTTCATCAAGCAGTGTTGCCAGGTCGCACAAAACAGGCAGCTAAATATTTGGGGAGCCTTCATCATGCCACTTGCAACGACAATGCTGAAATTGATCAGCGCTTGCGAAAAGCAGACATCGGTTGGTTTTCCATGGGCAAGTTCTGGTTCCGCAATGGGCTGCTTCGTGCTTCACTGGTTTTGGTTTTCAAAGGCTTGGTCTACAGTACACTGTTGTCAGGCCTGGAAGCTCTTTGCCTGTCAAAATCACAGTTGGAGAGATTGGACACCTATGTTCTCAGACGGGGTAGGCAACTCATGCATGGTACTGCGTGCCAGAAGTTCGCGAGCGATGGCCAAATTACGTACAAGGCGCTTCCTGCGTTGTCAGTGTGGCGCTTCCTGCAAATGGTTCCTGCACACATTGAGTTGCGGCTGCGTAGACTGCGATTTTGGCAAAATGTGGCCCTTCATTCTGAACTTCACGCAGTTCTTTTGGGTTGTCTTTTTTCCCAGTTTGATTTCGAAACGTCGGCTTCGGTTGATGCAGAAGGCAAGCCCACCGCATATGCAAATCCCTGGTTGCGACAGTTGGCAGATGATGTGCAGAGTCTTGCGTGTCTGGACTCAGGCTCTCTTTTGGTTACAGAGTTGCGTGGTCGCCTCACTTTGTTGTTCACTGAATATCGAGAAGATTTCGTTCGCGTCGACGTTACTGAATTTAGAGCACAGTTTCTGGGTCATGCTGTCCCACCTCCGGGATGGGTGGCGCCTCCACAGGATGTCGAAGACGCGTTGCTTCTTCCTGCGCAAGAACGGTCATTCACGTGTCTTCGCAAATGTGCGGATGGTACAGTTTGCAACAAGACTTTTCCGAGGTACTCACAATTGTATACACACATGGTACAAACAAAAGGGGGAGAGCATGGCGAAAGACCTTTTTTTGCGTTGGCCTGCGTGTCAAACATTTGTCCCTGGTGCAGATGTAAGTTTGCGTCTCGCGTGTCAGCCAGCCATCATATTAAACGTGCCTTCGAGAAAGGGCGTTGCGCAGGTCGAGGGTCTTGTGTCAATCCAGCACTGGAAGAACCTCGTTCTTTGGCATGCCCAGCTTGTGACGTGCACTGTGATTTTCTGGACAACTTGCTGCAACACATGTGTGGTCATGATTCGCCTGCAGCCTTTTTTGCCAGACAAAGGCAACAACCTCAAGTCCCAGCCGACTAAGCTTGTAAGCATCATGTCTGCGCCAGCCTGGCTGATTGGATCCGGCGGTCAGGGCGAAGCCCCCCCCGCCAGGCGACAGAGGGTGGACCCACCAGCTGGGGCACTGGCGGCAGACAATCAGCGCAAGCTAACAATTTTGTTGGCCAAGTCAGTCTTGAAGCACGCGGCAGACATTCGTGAACTGCAAAGCGCGGTACTGACTACGCTTTTGATCCCGAAGGACACGGCCGTAGTGAGTGCAATGTCTACAGCAACGCAAGGTCACAACACGCAGGCAGCTGAGCTGCGCAAGGCAGGCAAACAGCGTGAGTGTGAGGCTTTGGGAGAGCCGCATGTGCACGCGTGGATGGCAATGGTGATGCAGCTCATGGAGTCTCATCACGTGAGCTCTGAGGACAAGCAAAAGCTTGAAGCCCACATTGCTTCTGCTACCAGTGCCAAGGCGCTGGAGCCTCTCGTGCTGGTTGCCAAGTGTCGCAAGTGCTTCGATCCAAAGCGCATGCGGTTGACTTTGTGCGTGCAGCACCAACTTCATGATGTACACGAAGTCGTTATCAAGGGACTGCAAGGCGTGGGAGCGCAGCTCAAGCGTGGGGTAGCGCCAAGGTCTGGCAGTGAGCGGGAAATCCAAGCCATACTTGATGCTCTACTTGAGTAGGGTCATTCCCAATCTTTAATCAGTGAGCGCAGTCACAGCACTGCATTTTGACACATAGGCAGGCCCTCGTATGCGAGGCGCAGTGCTGCATCAACGCTCTGTTGGGCATTGCGTTTGGCATTTTGAGGCCGTGCTCGTGCAAGCCGCGCATGTGGTGCGAGACAGCAGCACCAGCATTACAAATTCTACTCGGGGCAAGGACCCTCCGCTCGCCCGTGGAGCCAACACTTCAGAGAGGCGGTGAATGAATGAAAAAAATATATATATGTATATCTCTCTCTCTCTCTCGCTCTCTCTCTCTCTCTCTCTCTCTCTCTCTCTCTCTCTCTCTCTCTCTCTCTCTCTCTCTCTCTCTCTCTCTCTCTCTCTCGCTCTCGCTCTCTCTCTCTCTCTCTCTCTCTCTCTCTCTCTCTCTCTCTCTCTTCAAACCCAAAACCTGGTGATTCAACCTGCGCCTGAGCTCATTGACCAGACGTCGCCGCCCTTAGTCAGCATCTACAACCGCTTTCCGCAAACCCGAAACCCTAAACCCTAAGCCCCAAACCCGCAAAGAAAACTAAACCCTAAACCCCAAACCCCCAAAGAGAAACCAGCAAACCATCAAAAGCCCGCCTCAGGTGCCCTGGCAAAACGCCTGAACCCGAAGCCCTTAATTCCTAAGCCCCTACACCTAGGACTACAATTTGTTTCAGAACTCCCCCCCCCAAAAAAAAAATGAAAACAATCTTCTTCCTTATAAGGGTCTTGTAGGGATTGTTTTTGAACTTTTTTGAGCGGTTTAGGGGTTTTAAGATTTTTGGGACCTCAGCGGTTTGGGTAAGTTTATGGCCTGGACGCAAAAAAACCCTCGAAACAAGAGTTCCTGAAGGCCTCTCAAAGAGCCGACAGCACAATCTGCTTCGTTTGCTTTAGCTCTGTTAAGTTTAGACGGAAACCCTAAACCCTATATCCCTAAACCCTAGACCCTATATCCCTAAACCCTAAACCCTATATCCCTAAACCCTAGCATCGCACCTGCCGTCCCAGGCCAACAACATGGCTACCGCCTACACTCCCCACCCGTGCAACATCGATGACCCAGGCCCATTTCTTCAGAGGTTGTCCAGGGAGTTTAGGGTTTAGGGTTGAGGGTTGAGGGTTTAGGGTTTAGTGGCTAAATTTGGGGTTTCTGGCTTAGGGTTGTTTGGGCGATTTTTTTCGGATTAGGGTTTAGACAAGGGCCGCCGAGCCGCAACAGCAGGGGTGTTCGGGGTTTACGGTTCAGGGTTCAGGGTTTAGGGTTTAGGGTTCAGGGTTTAGGGATTTTTCTGGTGATTACAGGGTTCTTAAGGGAGGAGGAGTCATGACAGTTAGGTACCGTTAGGGAACCTTAGGGAAGCTTAGGCAGGACCCTAAATTTTTCACCCGGCCTGCTTAGGCCGTACCCACCCTTGTCTAGGGTGCCTGGACCCAGAACTACACCCGGCAGTCCAGACACACCTTTACTGAAGCAAGGCTCAGCCCGCCATGGCCCGGCCCCCCCTGACCCCCGGCCTCCCCCCTGGCTCCCCGTGACCCCCCCTGGCCTTTGGGTCTGGCCTTTTGGGTCTGGCCTCTGGTCTTCTTGGTTTCCAGCCCTGCTCCCGGCCCTTCTGGCACTCTGGCCCCGGAAACTTTGAAGCAATGGTGGGAATTGAGGGCGACAGCCCTGCCGCACACGCCCCGGGTGCGTAGGGGCGCCATTTCCACATGGTGCTTACTGCCGCTGCGCGGCGAGACGCCCTAAACCCTAAACCCTGCCCTAAACCCCAAACCGCAAACCCCAAACCCTAAACCCTAAAGCCTGACCCTGCAAGTTGATGTTGATTGGCTTTTCAGGCAAGATCCAGGCTTCAGGGATCTGGGCATGGATGTCGTAGCTGTACCACCGCGGCATCTTCTTGCTCAGGAAGCGCGGCATGCTTTTGCCCACAGAAGTGGATTGCTCCGTCGCACCCAAGCACCTCAAAGCGCCCTAACATGCACAACGCAGGAGCCTAAACAGCTATTCTCCTCCCCCCCCGCCCCTTAGAGCTTGAAGTCAGTAAATACCTTTTGTTCATGTAACTTACAGCACCGAAGCCCTAGTGTAGGGGTCGGAAGAGTTACTAGTCGTATTCCCTTATGGCCCCTTTTGTAAAATTATTCTTTGATACCCCCCCAAAACCGTATTCTAATTCTCAAGGCCCCTATATTCATCCCGAAACACCCTCTAGCAACCCAGCGGTTCGGTACGAACTGCTCATATGAAGATGAGACGGCCTCGAGCTTCCGTTGCCTGGCAAATGAATGGCCCAAGTGCACTTTAGGGTTTTCGGCTGTAGGGTTTTCGGGCTCAGAGTTTAGGGTTTAGGGTTTAGGGCTATTAGAGGGCTGAGGGTCGAGGCGAGTGCCACGGGCGGTACAAGCTAAACGCCTTCGAAAACCCGACCCCACTTGGAAGCCGAGGAGGATGAGGAGGTTTAGGGTTTAGGGTGTAGGGTTTAGGGTTAATCAGGGTTTAGGGTTCAGGGTTCAGGGTTCAGGGTTCCCAATCCCAATCTGCAAGGACTTCTCCAGCAAGACATGCAGTCGCGCACGAGGCATACGCACACGCACTGGGCGGGGGGGGGAGGGCAACAGCCGCTCTTGTACTTGCCACGTCGCGCTCCGACGCCCTCTCGTCTAGCTCACGCAGCATATTGCAGTCACCTGAGCACATGTTTTGCTGCGAAACCACCCTAACGTGCGTTTTAGATCCGACCCCTCGTTAAAGAGGCCCTGATAGAATTCTCAGGTGCCCGAGCCCCCAACTCAAACCCCAACTCCTTCCCCCCCCAATGGGTTCGCTTCTTCCTGGATTGCCAACCCCAAGACATTTCATCTTCGGCTCCCGCCGGCCCCTCGTTAGAATAGGGGTACCCCTTTCTTGTCGGAAAACCCCCGACTCTCCCCCCAGGTGCTTTGAATGGCTAAACATCTCTCCAGACACCATTGAGACTCAGTGAGAGGGTCGATCAGTTAAACCGTTAGACCTATGTGCAAGGTATGCTCCACTTAGCCCTTGGACCATGGCTTCAAAAGCTTATAGTTTGGGATGTTCCCCCCTTGTACCAACAGTCCTTCATGGGGATCATAATAGGGGGCACTGGAATCCCCATTAAGGACTGTTAGTATGAGGGGGAACATCTCGTGAGGTATAGCTCTTAGCTGCTGGAGAGCTTCGGTCATGCCCCAAATCGCCGGGAGCATGTACGCGTGGATCCGCATGCCAAACGCTTCGGCATCAGCGCGGCATCATGCTCGGGTGGTGGCGTTTGTGATCATGTTTGGGGTGAACGCTGTGAACTACACCATTTTCGAGTCGTATCAGCTGTACCTCAACCCAATCGTGCTTCGGCCTGTCAGCACGAAGACATTTCCTCCTGAGGCCTAGTGAACCACTAGCGTTTGCCGTGGTCAGAACCTTAAACCCTAAACCCTAAACCCTTAACGCCTCATTCCCAGGTACCCTGTCTTTTCGTCATCCTTTGCCCGACATTGCTCTGGGCCTCCTTCTGGTGCAAGGACCTTCCCAGCCAGGCTTTTCCGCACGTCATCTACGATGCCAAGGCGAGTGACATGTTACTGAATCTTGGAGGCGAATTCCCCTAAACCCTAAACCCGAAACCCTAAACCCTAAACCCGGAACCGGAACCTTCCAAACGAATCCTTCAACCCCAAAGTCAGGTCCTTTGCTCGAAGCCAAGAGCACAATCCCACAGTGCCCTCTCTTCCCTGAGTTGACTGAGTTGCGATCTGGGGTTTAGGGTTTAGGGTTTAGGGTTTAGGGTTTCAGGTTTGGGGTTTAGGGTTTAGGGTTTAGGGTTTAGGCCTTCGGGTGTCCTGCAAGCTCCAAGGAAGTTGATCTGCTATGCGCTCCTTGTCTTCGTCATGTTCCCCTTGTTCGTCCTGGGCAGTGCTCAAACAATTGCCGAGAGTTTGATTGTGAATGTGCTGGCATATACGACATCCTCTCTACCACTTCTCTCGGACCATGTCCTCGTCACCAGCTTGTTTGCCCTCCACGCGATGGGAGCAGTGATGATAGCACTTGCATGTCGAGATGAAGTTGAAGTCACAGATGGGACGCCTGAAGCCGTTGAATCTGCACTTTTCGTTTTGTGAAAGTGAGAAGAAAACCAGCGAAGACTACCTTTGATTTGCATGATCCAAGCCCAAACCTGAATCTGACTCCTGACGCCTAAACTCCAAACCTCCAAGTGCAGGGTAGGGTTTAGGGTTTAGGGTTTAGGGTTTAGGGTTTAGGGTTTAGGGTTTAGGGTTTAGGGTTTAGGGTTTAGGGTGTAGGGTTTAGGGTTTAGGGTTTAGGGTTTAGGGTTAGGGTTTAGGGTTTAGGGTTTAGGGTTTAGGGTTTAGGGTTTAGGGTTTAGGGTTTAGGCACAAGGATGTGGCACCTGCTCCTGCAGAACTGCGGCTACGCAATCAGTAGCCGCGGCCTCGTCAAGATCTTCGACTCGCAGTTCCAACCACCTCCGGAGGCCACACGTAGGGCCACGTAGGGGTTTAGGGTTGAAGGTTTAGGGTTTAGGGTCTAGGGTTAGGGTTAGGGTTTAGGGTTTAGGGTTTAGGGTTTAGGGTTTAGGGTTTAGGGTTTAGGGTTTAGGGTTTAGGGTTTAGGGTTTAGGGTTTAGGGTTTAGGGTTTAGGGTTTAGGGGGTTTCGGGTTCCTGGCCATACAAGCGCTGAGGAGACGTTGTTGAGGCTAGTGTTGTTTCGACTGAGAGAGCCCTGGACGAATTTGAAACCTGTTGCCCAGGTTTAGGGTTTAGGGTTTAGGGTTTGGGGTTTGGGGTTTAGGGTTTAGGGTTGAGGGTTTAGGGTTTAGGGTGTGCCCAAACACCTGACAATCCACCCCCTGGTTCTTCGTGGGGAATGGGGGAATGAGGCACCCTACATAATCCCTGAAAGGGCCTTTCGGGTTTAGGGTTTAGGGTTTAGGATTTAGGGTTTAGGGTTTAGGGTTTAGGGTCCCATAAAGGGTATATGTATAGGGGGGAGTACCTCATTCCCTCATTCCCTACGAAGAACCAGCCAGATTCAGACATCCCACACAGTAACTCGTAGCGCGATGGTCCGTTGGGGCCACGGATGGACCCGGAGTCTGCAAGACTCAAAACAGACGCACAAGCCACTTAAGCCATTAGGGCGGTTCAGGGTTTAGGGTTTAAGGTTCCGGGGGGGGGGGGGGGGGGGCGGATAGTTTTCTGCGCTGATGTCGTGGTAAGGGGGCCCATGATCAAAGATCGTACCCTAAACCCTAAAACCTAAACCCTACGCCCTAAACCCTATTCTAATCATTAAGGCCCCTATATTACTAGAGGGGTTGGACCCTAAACCCCTAAACCCCTAAACCCCTAAACCCCTAAACCCCTAAACCCCTAAACCCCTAAGCCCCTAAGCCCCTAAGCCCCTAAACCCCTAAACCCCTAAGCCCCTAAACCCCTAAACCCCTAAACCCCTAAACCCCTAAACCCCTAAGCCCCTAAGCCCCTAAACCCCTAAACCCTAAACCCCTAAACCCCTAAACCCCTAAACCCCTAAGCCCCTAAACCCCTAAACCCCTAAACCCTAAACCCTAAACCCTAAACCCTAAACCCCTACACCCCCATACCCCGACATTCGGCAGGCTCGCCCCTTTGTGGGGCCCATCTCGGCAATGCATCGCGACGGAGCTTCGAGGTGCGTTGTACAACAGACCAAGGGGATCCTACGCCCTGAGCCCTCAACTCGTTTAGGGTTTAGGGTTTAGGGTTTAGGGTTTAGGGTTTAGGGTTTAGGGTTCAGGGTTTAGGGTTTAGGGTTTAGGGTTTAGGGTGTAGCAGTGGTCAGCTGTACGCAGTTGTGTGCAGACATGCCCACCCCAAGGCCACCCAAGCACTATTCAAAACGAGCCAAATAAGAGCCAGCCAAATCCAAGCCAGCCCACATCCAAACACTTCTGCACTCAACGCTGTACTTCGGACTAGCATCTAGCACGCCGCCTTATGTCATGGAGCCTGATGCCTTGCTTGTTGCAAGGTGACATCTGAGAAGATGCCTTGGAAAAGATGTTAGATGTCGAGCTTTCGAGAGAGAAAATTTGGTTTTGCATTGGGCGGGCTTTCTCATTGTTCCATTCTGGATGTCGGGGTATCAAGGCTGTATGGCGAAAGACTTGTTGCCATACATACGCCTTGCGAAAGTCATGTCTAGAAGCTTGCGAGAGCCAAATCAGCGTTTGCGTTGGGGGGTGTCTTCGGCCGGAGGGCCTTCTCATTGTTTCTATTCTCGACGTCGGGGTGTCATGGTGTTGCTATGAACAGGCCTTGTGAAAGTCATATCTAGAAGCTTACCAGAGCCAAATCAGCGTTTGCGTTGGGGGGTGTCTTCGGCCGGAGGGCCTTCTCATTGTTTCTTCTCTATGCCGGAGCGTTTCGGTTGCATGGCGAAAGACCCTTTGCTAAAAAGGTCTAGAAGCTTGCGAGAGCCAAATCAGCCTTTGCGTTGGGGGGTGTCTTCGGCCGGAGGGCCTTCTCATTGTTTTTGTTCTCTGCGCCGAAGAGTCGAAAGACCTACCTTGCGTTTTCAGTTGCAGGAGTCCCTGTCACCCTTGTCCGGTTGCATTTCGGAGGGCTGCAAAGACAGGGGCTCGGGGCTTCGGCCTGCAGGGGCCTCACAGGGGCCTTCTAATCAGGGGCCTCCCAGTTCCAGGGGCCTCCCAAAAGCCTCCCAGAGGGTTTTCAGGGGCCTCAACAAAAGGGTGGCACAAAAACGCAATTTTGAGCAGTGGCCCAGGCTGAACCTGTTAAAGGGCCCCTGGTCCAGCAAAGAAGGCCGCAGTCCAGAGAGCTTCCAGAGGGTCCAAGGAGGCCTCCAGGGGGGCCCCAGTCTCGTCCGAGGTTATTTTTGAGCTAGGCGACTGTAGTTTGGCGACCTCTCAGGGGTGCGGTTGGCAGGCTCTGCAGCTCAGCAGAGCCTGCCATGGTCTCGCTGAGCGCTCGACGGCGCCCACTTCACCTCTAGAATGAGAGGGGTGGTGGGCGGGTTTAGGTTTAGAGTTTTTAGGGTCTAGGGTCTAGGGTTTGGGGTTTAGGGTTTAAACCCTAAACCTTCAGGGCTAATGAGAACCCACCCGCAAAAGCCTAACTGGAGCCTTGCCGTCAAAGCTAGAGAGGCCTGTATGAAAAAAATTGGGGATGGTAAAAGTTCATACTTGGTTTAGGGTTTAGGGGGTTCTAAAACCCTCAACCAAAAGGGCCCCCTAAACCCTAACCCTAAACCCTAAACCCTAACCCTCAACCCTAAACCTAAACCCTTCTGACAAGGATCTCATCAACCTGGCTCGCGATCGCGAGGGGCCTGAGAGTGTGGCGAGGCTTCTGGGCATCTACGCACGCAGGATTCCAAGGGACTAAAGCAGGAACCCTTAAATGAGGGACCTTAGGATTTGTTTAGGGGTTCTTTAGGGGCTACCTAGGTATATAGGGACTATCTCATAGGTCTAGATAGGGGGTTTTTATTAGGGGAAGAAGACTTTTTGGGTCCCCTTCTAGGGGTTCCCTCCTTTGACCCCTCAAAAAGGATGCGCTACGAGGAGGAGCTTGTTGGGCAGCTCCTCTTGTTGCTCCATTGCTGCAGTTTTTGAGAGCTTACTAAACCCTAAACCCTAAACCCTAAACCCTAAACCCTAAACCCTAAACCCTAAACCCTAAACCCTAAACCCTAAACCTTAGCCCTAAACCCCAAACCCCCCCCCCAAAAAAACTTTCAAACCCAGTTACTGTTTTTCAATAGTTCTGTGTCAGAGGGGGGGGGGAGGCGGGTTCACCACCCCACCCCCCACTCATGTGCAACTCTCTCAGAAGCAGTCTTAATGGCAACTTTTATGGTTTAGGGTGAAGGGTTTAGGGTTTAGGGTTTCAACTCTCTCCTTTTGTCCAGAAGCAGTCTTAAGGTATCATTGCCGGAAAGACAGGCGGCTCGGCCTCGACTGGTCTCAGGGGTTTTGGGGGTAGGGTTTAGGGCTTAGGGTTTCGGGTTTAGGGTTTAGGGGGTTTGGTGTTTAGGGTTTAGGGCTTAGGGTTTAGGGTTCAGGGTTTAGGGTTTATTAGGGTTTACAGGCTCTCGAATTTAAGGATGTTTCGGTGCATCGGGGATGGAACCCCAACGGAAAAAGAACCTAAACCCAGGGCGGGTGAGGAGACCCGAAGTAAGGGTCCTTATATTATTTATTGTGTATATAAGGGTTATATAACAAGGGGCCCAAACTAAGGCCACGTAATCCCCAGGAGGGACGAAATCTCAGGAGCTTGGACGCTGCGGTCGTTTTCAAGTTGGTGCTGCTGCTTGGGCTTGGCGGTCATCTTCACCGAGAAGTCGGCCCGGAGTTTCGGCTGCTTCCTTCGAGCGGCTCCATGGGGGTGTCAAGTTGTGGGAGCGACCAAGACTCGCAGGGCACACGCACGACACTGGGTTTTGGAGTACTATACTTTAATACTTTTTTGGTTCTGGGTTCCTATTCTTGCTACTTATTACCTAAAAAGTATATACTTTTTTTCCAGGGTCTACTCCAAAGCGAAGGACAGCAGAGCTTGTGAGGCTCCGTCTTCGGGCCGTATTGGTACCATGAGTCCCTTGAGGGCTCAATTTGCCCTGCTGTTTTTCCAATTGTTGCCTCCGAGCCGCGTTGAATGCTGGCTCGTTTTTCCCACGCAATGCGCTTAAAATCAATGTTTTTTTCGAGCACGACAGCTCGAACTTTGCGGTGAACGAAAAGGCAGAGACGTCAACGGCCTGCAGCTTGGGCATTGGGAGCGGGAGTGGGGGGTGAGCAGGTGATCGGAGGAGGGTTGTAGTTGTTGGTGGTTCCCAAGGGGTTTGGAAGGTTTTCCGGGTCTTTGGAGATCTATACTGGTGCGGAGGTCTCTACGAGCTTCAGTTTGAAGATGCGTACCCTGAGCCATTAAATTGGTCAAAATGGCTCTTCGGAACCTGCCCTTTTCCGAAAAGCTGTATCCCAATCATTTAGCAATCCTAAACCCTTAACCCTAAACCCTAAACTCTAAACCCTAAACCCTAAACCCCAAGTTCAGCATAGTTCTCTTGTCGCATAGATCTCATGCTGGCTGAAGTTGCTGAGTTTAGGGCTTAGGGGGCCTGGAATCATCTTGCAAGCGCCCTAAGCACTGTTACTCTATACTACTCCAGGGACCAGGATGGGCTCTTAGGACTTAAAATCCCATTAATGAACCCTACAAAGGGCCTTTTAAGGGATTACAGGGTAGAATAGCCCATCCTGGGATTCTTATTCTGGGGATCCACTCTCCCCTCCCCCACAAGTGCTAGCAGGCGGAGGTCATCAAGGCTGTAGCTCCAGGGGTGGGGTTTAGGGTTTAGGGTTTAGGGTTTAGGGTTTAGGGTTTAGGGTTTAGGGTTTGGGGTTTGGGGTTTAGGGTTTAGGGTTTAGGGTTTAGGGTTGTGGGTGTTTCAGATGCCCACTCTCTGCTGCATTGACCTGGCAACAGCAAGGGCTGCTTGTGGGCCTCATGCTGCCCATTCTTGGTGACATTGCTCAAGCTAATCCAGGGACATGGCGAGATGGCTTTCGGATTCAGGTGTGCCCTCACGCACCACCAACGTGCTCTTTCCGGATTCGGTATCCCTCCGCAAATCGCCAACGGGACTGTCATTTCCAGATGAGTTCGTTGCTTTCTGGACTTAGGCTACTCAAAAACCCAAGTTCGGACGGTCTCTGGATTTTCTCATTCCGTCATCGCTGTGGTACTGCAAATGGACCCTCCTGGTTAGCGCAAAACTTCAGAAGATCCTTGAACCCGATACCCTAACCCCCCCCCCCCCCAACCCGCCCAAGCTCAAAACCCTAAACCCTGAACCCTAGACCCTAGACCCTAAACCCTAAGCCCTAAGCCCTAAGCCCTAAGCCCTAAACCTTGAACCCTAAACCCTAAACCCTAAACCCTAAACCCTGAACCCAAACCCTAAACCCCTAAACCCAAAAACCCTGCTTCAGCCCGAACGGCTCAGGGCTAGGGCTGTAGGGGATTTGGGGGCTTTAAGGGGTTTAAGGGCTTTACAGGCTTTACGGGTAGGGGCTTCAGGGTTTTAGGGGTTTCTAGTTTTAGGGTTTGGGGCTTTGGGGGTTTTAGGTTTTTGTCTTGGCTTCGGGTTTTAGTAGGGTTTGAGGGCTTTAGGGCTCTAGGGTTTTGGGTCTTCGTCTGAGAGCTGCATGGTTGCGTTTTCAGAGCTTTAGGGTTGCAGGGTTTAGGCTTTAGGCTGCAATTGTCTTGTCAGGGATTATGCTACCGCCACGGGCCCATGTTCTTAAATGCACGATATCTCAAAAACCACTTCCCATTTCATAACTTTTGGGGCCCATGTATAGACTACAGTATTTGGGTACAAGGGCCCTCAGGTGTAGATGGAGTGGCTTGGGACGCGGAAGGACTGCATAATGGCTCTCTAAGTTAGGATCTCATGCACGGGACCCGAATGTAGAAAACTCCTAAAGCCTCAACCCGAAACCTTAAACCCTAAACTTCTTAAACTTCCTAAACCCTAAACCCGAGACCCTAAACCCCACCCTGTGTTCACTATAAATCTAGATCCCTGGGCCTCTGCGCCTCCCCCAATCTGCGATTCAGTTTGTAGGGTTTAGGGTTCAGGGTTTAGGGTTTGGGGTTTAGGGTTTAGGGTTTGGGGCTTAGGGTTTAGGTTTGGGGTTTAGGGTTTTAGGGTGAGATGCTAGAAGAGTTCTGTACCAAGCTTCCGGGTTAGGGGTGCACCCTGCACACGGAGACTTCTGCCGCAGGCCAGTACATGTGCGAAGGCACCGAGTGCGGAGACAACGACAGCGGAGAGCGATATGATGGACTGTGCCACACGTCACAAATGTTGGGATGTTTCCCCTTGTGCGAACAGTCCTTAGTAGGGATTATCGTACCGCCTACCATAAATCCCTATTCTGGACGTTTGTGTAAGGGGGAACATCCCAACACAAAGATGGGTTCCTAAGCCCCAAAGACCCTAAAGATTCAAGCCCCACGTGCCCCAAAAAACTTTCAACGTTCACCCAGAAGCTCGAGCACCAACACAACCCCTAGACTCCAAGCATCTAAAGCTCTTCGAACCCTAAGGGGTGGGGGTTGAGGGTAAACTTGCGGCCTCGGTTTAGGGCTTAGGGCTTAGGGTTTAGGGGTGGGGGGGGGTTCATGGCCAAAGTTGTGATTTAATGCCTGTGTTGTGCTGTAACGCTGCAAACTTGGAAGGTTGGCGCATAGGCGCAGAACGCAAGGGCCAAAGCTCAGGGTTCAGGGTTTAGGGCATAGGGCTGGGACGTTCCCCCTTATACTCACAGTCCTTACTAGGGATTGTAGTACCCCCTAATATCGTCCCCATTAAGGACTGTCAGTATAAAGGGGAACATCCCAAGCTTAGGGCTTCGCGCGTATACAGGACTTGGGCCCCAAAGCTCCCGTCGCATTTGAGCCCCCAATACATCGAGGCCGGTAGCTCCTGGACCGCTTGTAGTTACTAATATTTGCTTAAGAATCCCCACCCCCCCCCCCCCTCCCCCCAAAAAAGATAATTCACAAAAACTAAATAAATAAATAATATAGATATATATATACACACATATATAAAGGGAAAAGTAATCCCTACATTGCCCGGATAAGGAAAGAACATTTTGTGTTTTTTGGGTTGCAAGACCATAGGGTGTAAGGTTAGGGTTTATGGGCTTAGAGTTGAGAGTGTAGTGTTTAGGGGTTAGAGTTGCGGGGTTCAGGGTTTGGTAGGGTTTCGGGTTTGCAGGGTTGAGGGTTTGTAGGGTTTAGGGTTTGTATATAGAGGGTTTAGGGTTTACAGGGCCTAGGGGCACCAATTCAATGAAAGAACTACAGATGGAGCCTGTGGGCAAGGCGACAAGGACGGTTGTGACATCAACCCCTTCCGCAACGGCAATGTGACCTTCTATGGTCAGGCTTGATTCTTAGGGTTTGGGGCTACAAGGCGACAAGGTTGTCTATCTATTTGTCTTAGGGCCTTTCGGTTTGAACTGTGGAGCCTACAGAGTTTCAGGCTTGACTTTTTTAAGAGCATTTGGGGTTTCCTGCTGAGGGCTGAGGGTTTCGGGCTTCGGGGCTTGGGGCCCAGGGTGCGGGGCTTAGCGCGCTTCGATGCTGCGGCATGCGCAGGGCTCTGCTGTGTGGAGGGTGTGATTCCCGGGTTTGGGATGCCCTGGGAACGACATAGAAACCCCACAATCGGGGTCATATACCCTGTGCTACAATAAATCCTATTAAGGTAGAACTATGAACCGTAAACCCTTTTGCGGTTCATTTGGTCCCCCAAGGTGCTAGTATGTTCAGTAAGTGCCAGGCTCCCCTTGATTCCCTTCCAGGCCCATGCAACAGAAAAAGGGTGCCTTTTCTACCCTCCAGTTCCCCGAAGTACCCTAAACCCTAACCTTAAACCCCAAACCCTAAACTCTAAACCCTAAACCCTAAACCCTAAACCCTGAACCCTAAACCCTAAACCCTAAACCCTAAACCCTAAACCCCAAACCCTAAACCCTAAACCCTAAACCTTGGGGATGGACTCGGGATGGGGGGCTTCCAGAGTGCAATTTATGGTCTAAGACTACGGGGGATTAGGGAACCACCCTACACCCTGCTGAGGGTTCAGGGCTCAGTTTTTGGGAAGCTCAAGTTGTGAACCCTAAACCCTAAACCCCAAACCCTGAACCCCAAGCCCTAAACCCTAAGGGGACCTCAGTGTCTTTGGGCTGAGTGAAGCGCAGGACACCCCGAACACCAATTAGGTGACAAGCGCCCTAGGTTCGGTTTTCCGAATTACCGCCAGGTGTTTAAGTGCCTTACCATAAGCTTTCTGGGGTTACGCCGGATGTAAAGGGCATTTAAGGTTCTAGGGCTTCTGGGGGTTCCCGACGCTGCGGCTCCTCCCTTTTGCAGGGCAGTGGCTTTGCTGTGGACTCCGGTAGGCCGATGACCGTGGTAACGCAGCATCTCGGCTTTCAGTTTTAGCTTGTTTGGGGTGTTTGGACTGTTTGGGGTGTTTCGGGTGTTTATGGTTTACGATTTGTTTTTTTTGTTTTGTGGAATGGGATAGGGTTTCTGGAATTTCCGCTACCCAGCTCAGACCCCCAAGCCCCAAACCCTGAACCATTCCACACGTCAAAGCGGCGCTTTAGTTCAGTTTGTCATAGTGTTGGGTAACATTTTACATTTTCCAAGGGCGCAAGAACCCAATAAGGAATAGAAATTCAATGTTTTAAATACTGTCCCAACCATGAACTAGTTCTAAACCCACAAACCCCCAAACCCCCAAACCCCCAAACCCCCAAACCCCCAACCCCACAAACCCCCAAACCCCCAAACCCCCAAACCCCCCCAACCAACAACCCCCAAACCCCCAAACCCCCAAACCCCAAACCCCCAACCCACAACCCCCCAAAACCCCCAAACCCCAAAACCCCAAACCCCCCAAACCCCCCAACCCCCCAAACCCCCCCCCAACCCCCCAAACCCCCAAACCCCCAAACCCCCCAACCCCAAACCCT